TGTTGAACATCTCATTCCAAACCCATGTGCATTAATCTATGAATTTCTTTAATTTTATACAAATGAAGTTAAATTCTGTTCACATGAATGTTTGGGGGAGTTTAAATTCAAACACTCTCTCTCTCTCTCTCTCGTCTCCGTCTCCTCTCTCTCTCTCGTGTCTCTCTCTCTTCCTTCTTCTCTTCTCTTCTCTTCTCTTCTCGGATCTCTCAGTCTCTCTCTCTCTTCGTCGAAGGTCTAATCTCTCAACTCAGTCTCGTCTTCTTCGTCTCGCTGTCTCTTTCTCTCTCTCTCTCTCTCGGTCTCGTTCTCTCTCTCTTCTTCTCTCTCTCTCCCTCTCTCTCTCTCGTCTCTTTCTCTCTTCGTCCTCTTTCCCTCTCTCTCTCTCTCAGGGACGAGTTGAGAGAACATTTGAAGAACGCTCCCAAGATGATCATGACTCAGAACCAGGAAGTGGAATCCTCTGACTCCTCCTCGTCCTCTTCGTCCTCCTCTTCTTCATCTGCCTCCTCCTCCTCAGACTCATCCAGCGAATCAGATTCAGACTCCTCAGACTCCTCCTCCAGCAGCAGCAGCTCAGGTACATCCATGTGTACTTATTTCAAATTCAACTGAAATCAAATTGCATGTTTTTCTCATGTTTTTGAGCGGTCCGTCTTGCGATGTCTCAGGAGCGTTTCGTCGGAATTTCCTTGGGGGGGGTTTGGTGGTCAAAGTCACATCAAGTTTTTGGCAATTATTCAACATCATAACTCAGAAACAGAAGGGGAGATTGTGATCATATTTCACAGTTTCACAATTTAATAAAGAATTGGCTGATACACAATGAGTGCAAAATAACTAGCACAGTACAGGCTTCCATCTTTCCATCTCATCCCAGTCTTTAGCTGGGATTTTAAAGTGGCAATAGGTGGGTAATATCTGCCAGTGTTCTTGGATTTATTCGTCAAATTTGAACACAGCCAATTTCTGTCTGTAAGCTACAGCGCTCCAGCCGGCTGACAGGAAGAGGAGGATTTCCCAAAGAGCTTTTTTCCTTCCTTTAAATAATAAAAAACAATTAACAGTATATTCAAAAGACATTCATTTTGACTGCAAAAAGGGTTGACTAAATGTGTTAGTTGGACTAACAGAATGTCTTGGTTAGAAGGATTGTGACCTTTATTTTCTCAAGGATTCTGGGTTATGAAGTCCTGAACAGTTTATTTTCTGTGGGATCAGGAGCTGAAGTTTCCTGCCTCATTAAAAGTAATTGACATATGAATGAGGCTGTGATGGATTAATAGATGAGTGATTATTTTTCCCCATTGTCCTCCAGATTCGGACACCAAACACAGGAAAAAGAAGAAGAGAAAAGAACAAAGTGAGGAGAAGAAGAAGAAGAAAGAGAAGGTCAAGAAGAAGAAGAAGGACAAACCCTCTGACAAGAAGCGAGCCGGACGCAAGAACGACGGCGAGGATGACAGCGACAACGAAAAACAGGCAAGGAAGGACAGGAAAGGCCGTGCGCGTGAGGTGGAGGAGCGCGAGAGTGCGCGTGAGGTGGAGGAGCGAGAGCGTGCACGTGAGATGGAGGATCGAGAGCGTGCACGTGAGGGAGCCCGCCGTAGCAGACGGGACGATAGATCACAAGAAAAGGAGCCGGAGGAGGAGAGGAGACAAAAAATGGACGTTCAAGCCAGACAAAGAGACGGAGAGAGGGACAGAGACCGAGACAGAGGGAGGGAGAGAGAGAGAGAGCGAGCAAGAGAAAGGGAGACTGAGGAGAAGAGAGAGAGGGAGAGAGAGCAAGAGAAGCCGAGGGATAGAGAGAGGAATAAAGAGAACAGAGACAGGAACAGAGAGAGAGAAGAGAGGAGGAGGAGATAAAACTCTTCATGCCTCCGTCCTGATGATAATCTGATGACAAGTCTCCATCTTTTCCTTAGGTCATCCCCCTCTTCTTTACCTCACCCTGTCACTCTGGTGTTTTGGATTTGGGACCCATCTCTCTCTCTCTCTCTCTCTCTCTCTCTCCATCTGTCTATCTGTATTTTCTATTATTGATTTTTGTTGTTGATGAAATGTGCAAAGAAAAAAAAAATTAAAAACTTTCAGATGTTTTTTAATCAGGTTTTGTTTCAACTGTTTCTGGCTCAATATTTGACTTCACTGTGCTGCTGTCGGTCATCAGTCTGAATGGGATTTAAATTACAGAATGTTTGCTGAAAAAGACCCAATAACTGCTTTAATTATTACTCGGGTGGGGTGAAACACTGCCCTGAAAGAAAGAAATCCAGTCTGAATTTGTTTATGCTCTACTACCTCTATCTCCTTTCAGCTACATACATACAAACATAATTAATATCTGCTACAACTACTGCAGCTATAGGCACGTACAGTTTTTGGCTGGGAGAATATGTTTAAAAGTTGACAACTCCAGTCATCAGTTGAGAAGAATAACCTCACAACTGATGGAAACACAGAGGGTAATGGAAACGGAGGGCAGTGCTCTCAGCGCCGGTGATCCCTGAAGTCAGCTAAACCACTTTAGAGCCAGATGCTGTGCAGCCTCCTCTACTGCCGTCCACTGTGAGCCACTCATTGGCTGACAGTGCTGCAGGAGAAACGCTCCACAGTGTGTGTCTTGGGGAGACTAAACTATGACAAGCACGCTTTTTATTTCTCTGTGGAAATCTGATGTTTTCAAATCACAGATGAACGAAGGCATTAAAATGTGGGTCTCACAGGTAAAACATGAAACTTGTGTAGGCTGATATAGGAGCTAAGTGTGGGCCTCCGAATGTGCACTAAAGTGACACTGGGCAGAGGAGTGAAGAATATATTTGTCATATTCTTGGATATAGATATTGAAGAAAAGACATAAGTCATAATGTTAAGTGAAAAATGATTAAAAAAATAAAAGAAAAAAGATGAAAACCTGTATTTGAATTGTATTTGTCATACTGCCTGGGGCAGCTCCTGACAAGATGCATAGTGACCTCTGTTGGAAAAAATGCCCGTGTAGTAGATAAAACATGATCAAGTGCCCTCTACAGTGACCCTGTGTGCAAGAAAACTATGAGATGAAGTTCCCCCTGGGGTGTCATGTTTACATTGTTTTCGCCCCTGCCCCTCAGACAGACAGTCACTGCACTACAGACATGTAGAATCAATATTCTCATATAAATCACCAAAAAAGCAAATAAACATTAAAAACCAAAAGAAAAAAAACATTTGATCTACAGGGTGGAACAGGTGGAAGCAGCTGTTTAACATGTGTGAACACTTTGGGAACCGTGCTGCCTAACCAGCTCTCTTGTCAACACACACGTAGAGAATTTGCTGCCTCAGTAAACACACTGAAACTCGTCCTGTTTTCTATCCCAGCTCCAATAGCGGTACCACTTCAAACTGTGAACTATAGCTTGTTGTAAACTGGTTGAAAGCTATATCACTGTTTACAGTAAACAACCTGCTCTGGTGGTGTCAGCTCAGAATATGCTGATGTCTGCAGTTCATTGACTCTCACATCCCTGACAGGAACAACAGTGTGACCTTTCCTGTCGTACACTACCTGCCTGCTTTCTCCACCAGGCCAACTGGAAGCCAACTGTGCCTCTGTCTCTCTCCTCGGCTGATCGAGATTATCTCCTGCCTGACATCATGTAATGTCACTGCACGCTTAAAGTCACAGCTGTTGAGGGCACTTCACATCCGGGGAGGAGGAGCTTAATAAACTGGTAAATGCCTTTTTCCACAGTGAGCAGCAAACACCCTCCATACTGACAGACATATCTGACTCACTCAGCTTTTCTCTTATGTGCTGTTTCCTTGTAAATGTATCCCAAATCAGCTTGAGCTATAATAGAAAAACAAGTACAAATAAGTATTTATACTGATTCTAGTCTAAACACACTTTATTTTATTATTAGCTTATTGGTTTTTGGGACACATTTTTTCCTGCTATTACTTTATATTATTATTATTATAACTAAGCTCCCCAACAATTACCTGCCACTGTTACTGAGCCTTTTTGTTTGCCTTCTTCTTGGCAGAGCTTCTTGGTCTCCTCAGGGCTGCTTCAATCCAGAAGAAGATCCATCTACCTCCTCAGAAATCCACAGGGAACCATTTACTGACGGTAGTGTTATCCTTAGAGGTGAAACATGCTGCTGCTCTGATTTGGTAATTTTATGTCAACAGACCTGATGTCTATGCTGTATCTGAGCTATATTTTGTTGAAAAGTGGAAAACTTTAAGACTTTTTTCGGTATCAACCAACGTAAAAGAGCTGACAGTTCATATAAAACAAATAGAAGGAGGTTTTACTCCAGAAGCCATTAGACTTGTTAACAGCCATTTGAATATCTATACGCTATCCTGAAATTGAATAGTTTTACATACAGGTGATCTGAAATGCTTTTCTGGTGGCAGCAGCTTAAAATAGTCATAGAGGCAGAGCTTTAATTCTCTGCCTGAACCCGATTGGTAGGCTTGGGTCGAGGTCACACAGGTAGCAATGGAAGTGAACAGCTAGCCTGGTTCTGTAAAAATAATAAATAATATTAATCTGCCTGGCAGCACCTCTAAGGCTCACTAATAAACATATATGTCACATTGTTTAATCTGTACAAAAACCAAAAAGTCAGAATAACAAGTTGTGGTTTGACAAGGAGTTAGGTGCTGGACTGTTTCTTGGCCACTAAACAAATGAGATATAAAATGTTAATTAATGAGCTTTACAGGGACAGGAAGGTGTTTTTTTTCTAACCTTTGGACAGAGCTAGGCTTGCTCTCAGCAACAAAGCAAGTATGTATTTCCCCCAAAATGTCAATGTATTCTTTTAGGAAGAAGCATTTCAAATCAACACACTACTCCCCAAGTGGATCAGAAAGGTTGCACCAAACTGAAATATATCTGTATTAAATTGGTTTACTGGAGTGCCTTCCAGCTCCCAGCTCCCAGCTC